ACCATACTAAGGACGGAGCATTTTTGGTTGAGAGTGCAATGGGGATGCTCACTTAACATGTACATATAGAGCCTTTTAACAATGCAGCACACCCCCACCTGCTACCATGCTTTTGCTGTTTTAGACTAGTTTAAATTTATTAAGTTAGTATTATAATCTCATTTTGAACACTCTGTTGTTGCCATTTGAACATTTTTAGGCAAGATTGAATGTCCTTTGAAAATATCTTATCCCAAATATCTTTCGGGGAGCTCTGGGGGTGTGTTGGTCACTTTAGGGGAGGCTACTGCCCCCTCATGCTACTCTCTGTGTTGCCCCTGACTGTACCTATTTTGAATCATAAATGAAGAACAATGTTAACCCCGCCCTTCTCACTCAGTTATTGAACCAGGACAAGGAATCAGTCATTAAGTGTACAGGTTCAATGCTTAAAATATTCGGGTAAATTACTATTATTATCTCACGACTATAGTTCAAATGTGACTATACAGTTCTTAACTAGTTCAGCTACTACTGCTACTTCAAAGTGACATTTATTAATACAAACACTGGAAAGTAAATGATAAGTAAAATGCATGTGCAGTATATTTGGTATTTATGCAGACCCTTCCAGCAGAAATAGACAGTAGTGGAATGTAACAAAGTAAAAGTAGTAAAGTACTGTACTTAAGAATAAATTGTAGGTATCTCTACTTCACTTAAATAGATTTTAAAGTGCATACTTTTTACTTTGACTTTGTTATTTGAGAGCAGGTACCAGTACTTTCTACTCTATATTTTTAACTGGACTAAAAAGTGAAAGTATTTTTTATTATTGTTTGAGACTTGCAGTTTGAACTAACAAAAATATACAAATAAAATCTGCAAGATTTTATAAATTTTGCACAAATCTTTATGAAAATCACTATATTTGAAAGTTTATTAGACCTAAAAATCTGTGTGAAATGGTTATATTACTCTGTAATAGTAATCTTTGAGTAGAGTACATCTTAAACAGGTGCTTTACTTTTACGTAAATAGGTTTTTTTCTTTTGCTTTTACTTGATTTTTCTTTTACTTTATTTTATTGCTCGGGTATCTGTACTTTTACTTATGTAACAAAATCAAGTACTACTTCCACCACTGGAAATAGGTGTATTTTAGATCTGGATACACAGGAGCATTGAGGCTGAACCTCCAGAGCTTGGTGAATTGCATCCTAGTTGTCTTATTTGATTAGTTGTGGTGCATTAAAAACGCATTAGTGTGTCAGGGATGTAAAATAGCACAATCTGGTAGGAGTGTGCTGTTTGCCATTGGGTAAACAATTTTTTACCATCAGACTAGCTGCCTGGGTATGTGAAATTAATGCAAGTTGTTACTCACCATCTGACAAACTTTAGATATTTTGCATTTTAGGCTAGTCAAACTGGCACCAGTACTGCTTCTGCTGTCTGTTTTGCGTTTTTTGTTCTGCATTCTACCAAACCTCAAAAAAATGTCATATTAAAACAAAATAACACAACATCAGCCCCACCTTCTTTGCTCAGAAATGTTTATCATTATGTAATTGGCAGGATAAACACATTTCACATTTAATACTTTCTTCTTACCAAACCACCAAAGAAGCCTCTGCCCAACCACCATGTGCCTTTACTGACACAGTCCCAGGCAGCTCCCTCATTAACATCCAGCTTCTGATAAGAAATAAATATTCAAATATTCAGCGGTACCACTTTCATTGGAGGCCTGATTTAAAATTCCTTGCCCTCAAGCATGCATGTCACAGCATGAAAAATCTACACAAACAGTCTCTTTAGTGTAAGCTGGTGGCACTGGTGTCCTCCTACAAGACTCCAGATGCCTAGTTTTTACCCACTGTGCACAAATCTAGACAGGTTTGGGGAATACTAAGAAGGCTGTATAGTGGTGCATAGATACAGTTAAAAATAAAAACTACAAGTACAAGCTTACATAGAGCTCAGGTGCTCTTTTTGTAGACTTATGAGACACTAAATAAACAGTGAATCTCAGAATAATATAAAACCTACTTAGAGGAATTATACTTTTCTGTCAGTCACAGCAAAACATGAGTCTAGACTAGAGTGTTGCAATGTTTAAGTCCGTAACATATTTTGTTTTGTATTTCAGGCAGTTTCCCTTTACATTATACAGTATAGGAAGATGAGACTGAAAAGTATCACCAATGTATTTTTGAAAGGCAGTTTGATTAGTGATAACAATGGAGCAAATGCAAGCTGTTTCTACATTGTTTTTGTCTAATCAGGGGTATAGTTGGGTAAGAACCATATACTGTTTATATAAACAAAATGACAAAATTTCATTTCAATCTCTTTATTCTCTTATTCTCTCTCTGCATACTTATATACTCTTTATTGTAAGCAATGGTATCTTGCGGTAGACATGCTGACATTAAACATTAGACATTAAACATTACATTCTTATTTTGTTTACTTCATGTACCTCATAATTGTATATACTCTTTTTGCTGAGAGGCTAACTACTCTGCCACTGTACCTTCATTTAATTAGCATTCTGCTCCGCTTAGTTGCCAAATACAGAGAGAGCAAAGGTGTTATTTAAAGAAGCCATGTAAGTTGTGAAAAATGCTTACACTTTTCAACTTAACTTTGTCAGACAGTTCAAGTTCAGTGGAGACAACATGTGGAACAAATGAAGCCTCACTTATCTCCTTCACCAGTCTGCATTTTGGCCTGTTGTCATCTTAATAAAACAATGGAGAAGCATTGCCAGCGGCTCATCCTTGTGATCCTCAGTCCCTGAGGTGACGGTCCCCATCCAGCGGTGTGTGTGTGTGAGTGTGAATGTAGGTCGATTGCACTCTTCTGCTGTTGCCTTGTTGTTGCTGTTGGTTTGCACTTGGATGTAATAAACAGGAGGATGAAATGCATTTTGGGAAATAATCTAGAACACAAATTTGAGTTTTGAGAAAAAGTTTACTTCTATTGGTTTCTCAAGCTGTGGAAATCAATGATGTTTCAGACCTCAGCACAGTGAAGAAAATGAACATTAACTAAAGTAGGAATTCTGGATACCATCTTAATTTTAAAGCTTTGGCCATTTACATTTCTTTACTGGTTGGACTTATTTTACCATTTCAAAACATTAATTCTTATTTCAAGACAAATTATTTGACTATAGAATAAATATATTTTCAATATATATAAATTCATGCTAAATCATCTCATAACTTACCTAACAAACACTTTTTTACACCACATAAAATAATGTAAACTACACAAAACTACTCAAATTCAGGTTAAGGATGCATTCAAGTCAGTTCAAGGCATTATAAGCGAGACTCCATATTCAGTTTTGGCAGTGCAAAGCTTGGACTTTCATATTTCATTATTATTTACTGGTATAGTTATAGTTATTTCATTTATTAACAATGAAATACTAGACATTTGAGATAAAATTGCACATTTCTGCTCTGATGAAGATAAACATTTGGCTTTGATGTGGTTCTAATGCTTGTTTATATTAGTATATTTTGTTGATTTTGAAATGGTGACTTGAAATGTTTTACTGTTCTGATTTGATGCAGTCCCCCTTTAGTATGTGATAGTCTGGGTTTGAGTCTGCTTTGCTTAGTCCTGGCCCAATGCATGATTAAGTGGTCTAGACTTTGTTGAACACTAATCCTGGTTCAGTTGAGGTATGGTTTAGTCATGATTTTGTCTTTGTCTCAGGACATGTTGTTGTAAACATTTGAGAATCACTGCCTCACACTGTATTTTGTTTTGCAGAATACTTCAAATGTAAATCCCCTTTTTGTCAGCTGTTTGTTCATAGGTCATACATTAACGGCTCCATTTTTCAAGCCTGTGCTCTTCTCCTCAGGTAATCTTTTATACGGGTATTTTGAAACACTAGTGAATATGTGGCCTGTAAACACAGAGAGTTGACAGAAAGGAGAAATCATTCATTTTAGTCCAAACTATGGTCCCAAACATCTGTCAGAGCTGAAAATACTAATAAAAACAGTAGCTTTGGCACCATATCGCAGCAGTAGTATTGAGCCAAAACAGATGACAATAGGGCTATGATTTTTTATATTGTCAGCATGCTGCAGTCTGCTCTAAATGGACCCCTGCTATAGATTTGTCTTCACGTCTACATTTTCTTTCGCCTTCCCATTTATCTGTCCATTGATTGTGTGGAGCTGTGACAAAAACATTTGAATGTGAGAAATGGCTGAGCAAACAGAAAGCAGAGGAGAGGCCGTAGTTTGGTGCAGAGCCTTATCCCTCTGATACAAAAGCTCATTCTGATCTCTTCTCACACAATAGACCGGCCCTCTGCACCCCCGGGCCACCACAAATAATACCCATAATGCAACGTGTCTGATGGCAGCAGCCTCCTGGGTCACACTGGTCCAGCTTGTAGAGGGCTGTGCCAAAGTCATGGTGCCAGGCAGAACTCAAAACCAACAGTGGTGCCAAACGGATCCACTTTCCTCATTAGATTCTTATATGAATCTTGTTGGTGCTATATCAGTAGAATATCCTCAAATCACTTAAAACCACCACTTTAAATGTCTAGTTTAAAGTGTCTTTCAGAAAAGAATGAGAGACATTTGTTATTGCTGTGCTCTGAGAAATGAAATTGCAGATAGATTTGATTTTGATGAAGTTAGTTGCTCTCTAAATAAATAATGCTGAAGGTTTATTACAGCAGTCCTGTCCCTTGAGTTTACCAAATCTGCTCAAAACAGCCAAGACAGGAGAAAACAGGGATTTACCCCAAAATAAAAGAATGATTACATCTTAGATTCCTTTGAATTTTTCATAACTCAGTGTTTTGGGGATGCAGTGTTTGAAAGAAAACGAGTTTCAGAAACAACAATGTTGTGTTAGATTTATGCCCAAATAGTTAGAGTGGTGGGATTCAAGAGGCCATTTGGGATATGCACACGTTTTCAAAGTGACTGTAGCACCACAGCGCCACACTGTGGTAGCAAAGAAACACAACAGCTGTTTAGGTTTTTCCCTTTAATTTTAAACGTATGGCATACAGCAACATTCACAAGTTTCACACAACATTTAAACTTTGGCAGCATTTGTGGTTTGCTTAAAGCCTGACACATGTTCACTGTAGTTAGTGAAAGCTCACAATAGCATGTGCAAATACATATGAAAATACACTTGGAGTGAACCACGTATTATTATGTGGCTTCCGGAGATAAAAATGCTTCAACACTTGTAGTAACATATTTAGCCCAATGGCATAACCTTCAGAGTAGTATTGACGTAATAAGCCTGTTGCATAACACACCAGTTTGTATTAGGATGTCTCAACAGTATTAGCGTATAAGATATCAGGGGGACCTAGGGGGCTGCACCCACCCCAGCTGCCTTAGGTTTCATTTCTGCACACGATGCTCTGTTAGATAAGGAAGTACCAGCCGTACAACACAGTCATGCGATCAGCCTTGGAACTATTACAGTACATCAGTAGTCTCTGACTACATACCAGTGTCAATATAAATAATTGTCCATACTCCAATCAGCTCTTGTAAAAATATTTATAAAATATTGAAACCTCATCACTATTACTAAACTGCTTCAACATTTTTCAAAGGGAATGATTCACACCGATTGTCAGCTGCCATCTAACATTAATAGTCCTTTATGACTTTGACCTAGAGGCCTTGAACACTTGCTAAGGCACTTAATTTAAAGAAAACAAATGCACTTTAATGGGTATTTTAACACAGCTTTAGGCTGAAATATAAAAGTTAGGTCAAATTTCAGTGACTGGTGTAAAGTAGCTTTAGGATGAGCTAGCACATTGCACTGTGCTGCATGCAGTTGGTGTACAACAGTCATTTTCACACTTGCCACAGGCTCGAAAATATGTGCAACTCAAGCAGGACATTTCAGTCCATAGCAGCCCCAGTGTGGGCTTCAGAAACCCAGGATTCAGTCCTTCCTTGGTCCTTTCTGCTCATCCCAGAGCCTTGTTCTTTTACTTTGTCATGTTTCTTTTCAATTCACACATCGATCTTCTTGAGCTGTTCATAAGTGAGGAAAAACTGCAACCCAGGTTAAGGAAATTTTTATACAAACTCAAAACCTTGTCGACTTTAGCCAAAAGCTCATGTTATTACAACTTTCCCGTGACCTCAGCCTTATCCACAGCTCCTGACAAGACCATAATTCCATTATATTTTTAGGCTGTATAAAAACTGACCAGCTCACAGTAACTTTATCACTCCATCTTTGAGTAGATCAAAGTCTTTTGTGCCTCTGCTGCTTTCTCAACAGTATTACACTGATGTAGACCCTTTAATTAAAACTCACACTTTCTAGGGGCAGCAGGCTCTGGCAGCATAACACAGTATAATAACAATATAACACTGCTGTCTGGGTACAATATTTCATCATAAAGAACAATTAACAATAGTTTGCATCTGAAATCTAATGCATAGTATATAAACACAAATCAGATGGCAAAAGGATACAATGATGTTCCAGGGTCCCAGTCGCAGCCAGTTGGGAAAAAAACCCTTGTAGAGGGCCATAAAACCTTCAGAGCGCCAGGTCTGAAAATGAACATGAATTGAATCCACCAATCTCTGATATGCCCAGATTCAATGCCTAGAATCTCTTATCTTATAATTAGGACAACCTCACTTTTTTAAAAACAGATTTTGGCACAGTGCCATTTTGTGTTAGAACTAATTGTATAATAACATGACCTTGCCAAAAGAAGCTTTGACCAACCTGTAGCAGACAATCCACAGTGCCCTTATACAGTGCTGCTCCTTTTTGGTTCATCATTCGTGTTCGTACCACATCCACTGGGTTAGAGGCCAGTGCTCCAGCCAAACCGCATGCAAAGCTTGATCTAAAAAGAGATTAAAGTAGATTTGCAAAAATTTCTGTATGTTCTTCTATCAAGGAAAAAACAAAACAAATTTTAGATGTTAAGGTTCCAAGTTACTATTCTCCACTGCTTTGTTTTAAGGTTTCTGTGTAGAGATCATACGGTCTATGGTAGAGATGGACATTTATTCTACAGTGCCATTAAATACATTTTTAACTGAATCATAATTGAACAACAACAAAATCCCCTTTGAGGTCAACATTTTTGCAGAATTTAAATAAGCTCCAAACAGTTTTTTAATGCAGTCTTCAGCAAAAATGGTTAAAACTGCTTTTGTGCATTTCTTCGAGCAAGAAAATATATATTTTTTAAATCTCTTGCAGCAGACATGGACCTTTTATTTGTACACAACCATGCATTGCCCCCACAGCATTTCTAGAAGCTGCTCCTATTATGCTTACAGAATATAATAAAATGTCTTTACTATATCAGAATCCAAAGATTACACTTTGTTATCAGAACATGCAATGCAAATCTACAGTTATAGAGAAACAAAATAAAAGTCATTTAAAACGGTGGGGGTGGTGTTACTTTATATCAAAATGCACTCAGGCAGACAGAGATTTTGTGATGAGAAACTAGAATAAAATGTCCACTTACACAAAGTGGGTGTAGACAGTGTCTCCCATGTAACCAGACAAAATCAGATGTTTCTTAGTGATGTCATAGACTGGCAGTTCAACCCCTACCACAATGGCCGCCCGCTGCGCTGTCAGTGAAACACCCTGGCACAAAGACAGCAACACCATAATATTTAGATACATACAGAAGTGGATGGTTCAACTGTCAATACACTGATAACGATTGTGTTTGTAGTCGTTATATGTATACCCTCCATAGTCCTCTTGTTCCCTCTTCTTGGTAGATGTTGATAAAGTTGCCCATCATACTGCCCTGAATCACTCTTCCTTGGGCCTGCATACGTATCTGTAAAAACAAAACAACAAAAAAACATCAGTTGACGTTGTTTACTTCATGCACAGCCACTAGAAATAAACAGTAGTTAAATTTAAAATGAGTAAATAGAAGAGGCACAGCTTGGAATTCAAGTGAGAGCAGTTCAGCTCATTTTTTGGCAGTAGTGGAGTCCTAAATATTCTTTCACTTCATTCCAGGAACCACTCAAGTCTTCTTGTTTATAAGTTCTACAGTGAGAGCAGTGTGCACAAGACGCAATGTTCTCAATGCCAGCCATGACATTTAATTATCTTCTAACCCACACCCATGACCCCCATATCATGACCTCACAGTGTCTTTATATTTAGCCTGTCATCTCAACAGCATAGCATGTTGAGCTTTATATGACCTTTACTCTACACGGCATGCAACCAAAACAGCACATGCATGGGCTGAGACCATCCAACTTTGACACTGCATTTCAAACCTGCTGCACCACTTTAGTGAATGAGATGTGGTATTAAGCACCACAAACTGATATCAAACAAGTACTTGCCGTTATGTGCTTATTACAATACAAGTTGTGCTGTTATGAGTAGTATTACTAGTAAATGTTTTCAGTGAATGTTTGAATGAGTTTTCATGTTTTCTTGAAGCATAGCAAGGCATTGTATGTAAGAGATCACAAAAGCCATTTGAGCATCATTTGTCAGCTTACCTTGAGCACATCTGTGGGGTTGGCAATAGACGAGGATATAACTCCTGACAGGATCCCACACAATACATTAGTCAGCAATGTTTCATCTGAAAAAGGAGGACGAGCAAAAGACTATGAATTCAGATACCAGAAAAACACTTTTCTGATTTGCCTATGTAGTTTATATTGTCATTAGCAGTAAAATAATCATAAAATGTATATTACAAAGGCATGTGATGCATATAGGTCAGCCAACAACCTGTTCAGTTATTTTAAAAAAAATAGTACAAGGGTAAAAAGTAGGTCACTCTAAATATCAAATGAATAACTGCTTTAAAAATCCATGAAACAAAAATCAAGATTAAATAGGTACAGTCGACCCTCATGAGGAATTCTTGTATGGAGAAACTAGGACTTACCCTCAGGTCTATCCACTAGTAATCTTTTGAAGCTCTGGTATGTGCCAATTTTTATGGTACCATAGGAAGCCTGGCGGAGCATGGCAGGAGAAATTCTAAAAACAGGAAAGGCAAGTTAACGCTGCATACTTATTAAAATCATGCCAAATAGGTGAGCTAGTTGGTGTCGTGTCTAAACAAAGCTCTGTGCGTTAGGCAAGACCTTCATGCTGGATGCCTATCACCCTGAGAGGCCCTGTGAGCTAACAGCCAAGTCTGCACCAGGGTTTAGGTGGGTGGACCTGTGATTGCAGAAAAAGGAACTTTATGCGAAGCAATACCTAGTGATGCAATAAGATGGCGTACAAAGTATTAGGCTCTAAAAATACAATGCCTCTGAGTACCCAAAACAGACCACACAAAGGTACGCATTTACCCTGAATATAGAGCCCTGAGCCCCTCCTCTCTTCCTATTCGGGCAATGGCGTGGAGCATGCCTCTGTACCGGATTTCTTTGTATTTACTGTCCCCGACTTGGCCTTGTACTTGCAGCCGCGTCTTGGCCAGATCGATGGGAAATGTACCTGCAACATGACAAACCACAGCGTAAGCTTTAGTCCACGTTAATTAAACAAAGTTTAATAGGGAAGCTCCGCGAACCTCACACGACCTCTCAAGGCTCAGCTCATCACTCACCGCATTCCGCCGTTACAGAGGCCAGCCCGCCGAAAACAAAAGGCTTCCAGTTCACCGTAGACATTCCCTCTTCTCTTCAACAAAATAGGAACGTAAAACGCCCAGAGAATCGGATAATAGATAGTTGACGCAGATCCAAGCTAAACTGTAAACGTGAGGCTACGAAGACATGCGACAAGATCACTACCGGTGAGAGACCGAAAGCAATGCGTGCGCACGCGTCCACCGCCCTTCTGCCTCTGCCCCTCCAAGACGAGGCCCCGCCTGCGCCCCTCTATTTGGCCAAGGGGCTGTGACAGACCCTCAGACATATCATAAATCTGCACACCCGGAGCCAACGCGAAACAGACTATGGATGTAGGTCACATAGGCCCCTGCCCTGATTGAGTTTGCTCTATTATTTCAATATCTTTAGAGAATCAAAAGTCTACATCGTAAATCGCGATGTTACTGGCGACCGTATTAATCATTGTAGCCAATCTTAAAAGTAAGCAAAGTAAAATCCAATAAAAACAGAAATTTGACACGTGGTAAACACATAAGTAGATAGCTAACCTTTGAGAAAACAGCGTTTGTGCTGGACTTTCTTTTGGGAAATTTTATGACTGATGTTTAAAAAATATTATTTTTACTCGTCCACTGGAAGGCGGTGCAATCTCATATAATAAAAATAGTTCGTGTTCGTGTAGTTAGAGATTATATACGCTAGAGGTCAGTAATGCCATGGTGTTGGAATGTGACCATGGAATTGTGACGAAGTGCACCTGGCCTATTATTGACAAGTGTCTTTGTTCCACATGACCTGCAAATATTGACTTGAAAGATGAATGTTAAACATTACCCTATGAATATAATCCTAATAATTTAACAAACACGAGCCAGAACAGATATCACAACAATGTCACTGCACATGTGAGAACAATGTCCAACAGACCACCCTGAAGATGTCATTGTAAATCTAAAACCTATTGTTTGTGTTATAGACTATTCTGAAATCACCTTGTCTGTTTCAGTTTTTCCCAGCTTTTGAAGGTACCCGTCTCCTTTTGTGACTGTGGGGCATTCATCCCAGGCATATTTATTATTATCATATGCTGCTAGTTGTATTGTTTGATTAATGGGTTGTCTATGGGTCAGTGACCTCAGCATTGCGATCACTACATTATAAACGACCAAGGAGAAAGAGCCATTGTGTGTGTGTCGTGCACAATACTCGCCAGTGTGCCAGTGTGCACACAGCATTGACAAACGGAAACAAATGAATGGAAATATAGCAGGTTTATCTGATACCAATAAGCAAAGGGAAGTGTGGGGAGCCTAAAATGGCTGCATTTAATGTGGTGATTTGTCAAAGAGAGCTGCTGGAGAACAGCTTTGTGATAATGGAGGACAAGGACTATACTATCTCTGTTTGTGGTTATGAAGAAAATATAAAATAGTTATTTGGAAGTCAGTGTAAAGCCTTTTGTTCTTTGTACACTGAATAAATTAACATGAAATCATAAGAATAGCAGTCAGTTTGAGTGACCAAAAGAACATGTCACAGAGGATCACTGTTCCTTATACCGCAGTATATGTGTGTGAATATATATGTCTGTATAATTTGTGACATTCATTTACAGTGACACTGTGAGATATGTAACTACAAAGTGAACAGTTACATAACATGTTATGTTACACCAGAGTATGAATCATCTGAAGCTCAGTTTGAAGTTGAAGGTCATGGTGGATTTAAAATAACCATTTAATTCACGCTCAGGGCTTAAACCACCCACACATGTCCCATATACAGGTCAAATGCAGTCATCTTTGCATTTCCATTTGGATTTTTTTTTTTTTTTTTTTTTTTTAGAGAAAATGCCCTTACAAAATAGTTTTCTTCCCGTTACTGCTAAAATAATGTAGCCATAACAAACCTTTGTGCAGTTGTATTAATGCTTTTTAAATGTGAAGTCAAAGTGGAACCATCATCATTATGGTAATTGACTCAATGAAAATGGTAGCTACAGTAAAGAGCATCATCCCACTAAACTCAACTGTCCCTTAGTTGCATATTTTCACTTCATCCTGAGGGCAGCACTGAACTTAATGGGAAGCGAAAGGCTGTCCACTATGGTTAGTATGTGTGTGTTTGCTTGTCCTACTTGTTTACCATGGCCTCTTTGAGTGTTCTTCTCAGCCTCCAGTCTAAAGCCCCCTCCTCTCCTCTTTGGTGATGAATGTGACAAGCTCCATCCTGATTGGACAGGAGTACACCAAGGCCTGGACCCTCAACCAATCAGCCCTCCTCCCAAAACATGACGTAAAAATGATGATTTATAACACCCACATTCTTACATATTCTCTGGATATGGTATTACCATATAAGGAAGGATTATGAAGTAAAAACGTCATACAGAAATCCCCATGCGATTCCAACAGGTTGTGTGCCTATAGAAGTAGGAGTCCTCAAAATCCACCAGCCTCCTTGACTTGTCCTATTTTTCCAATGACCGTGCCTTGTCAGCAGGTCTCTCCACCAAGGCAATGTACAACACCAACAGTTGAAGGTTACTCTGTGATGAAAACTAAGGAAAAGTACAAAATAGCAAAGCTTTCATGTTTTCCAAGGACTTATTATTGAACAACCTTGAGAAAAGTGTTTTTGTGAGTGTTGTGTTATGTTGGACAGGTAAATTTCTTTTTAAGATTTGTGACATTTCTTTCATAATGTAACTAAAGAGATAATTTAGTGCTATGAGAAGAAGTGACAATGTGTATTGCCTAGTATAATTTAACAACAGTTTTAATAGTGGCACGTGTGTTTGCTGTCACGTATTAAATATGACCTAAAATGATTAAGAGGAGAACAATCAAATTTGCAACTCCAAACTATACAAAAAATATGTTTGAGGAAGCAAATAATCAAAATAGGCTTTTCATATGGTTTTGAATAACTTAAACTCCCTTAAACAAAGAATTATGGTGAACAAACATAAACTGAAATTCAAGATAGTGGAGAATCCTCTTTCTCCTTGTGATGCCTGTAGGTACATTTATAATAATCTGTATGAGTCTGTGATTCCTTTTAGCACTGTATTTAGCGCCATTAGCCCTACGCATGTCCTCTTCCTCGACAATCCTTCACTGTGCTCACTAATAGCCTGGATTAGTGTCTGTTTTAATAGACCTATCCATCTGCTCTGTTTATGCACGACTCTCTCACATTCCCCTCTCTCCTCCAGCGTCTCCTCTCCTCATGGGCAATTACACAAACAAATGCAGTTTGTTTTAGTCTGACTGCACAGAAATGAATGAATTTCTCACATCATTACATTTGGAGTTAAGGTCAGTTGCTGTATTGTATAATTCCAGAAAAAGGTAAAGTCACTTCCTTGGATTTGCTCAGCACATTAGCCATGTAAATTTATGTAAATGCCTGCTACAGTGCTGTGCTCTGATTGGACAGTTTCTTTAAAGCGCTCTAAATCTAAATTTGCATAACTTGACTGGAGCAGAGGGGAACACAGAGTAATGGCTTGTTGTAAAATGACGTTTCTTGATCAAGAGGTGTCAGAAATGTGTGACGCCCACACAGGGTTCACACACGTGAGTCTAGAGAATCCTTATGGCGGAGATTCTAAGAGTATATTCATCATGAGTCAAGAGATGGTTTGATCGTAAATGAAAACATAATTAATGTTGCTGAAAAAATAAATAAAGAATGAAAGATATAGCAGGAAGTATCTGCAATTTGTAATTTTACACGTTATTGAGATGTTTTCAATGAATTAATAGCATGACACCATCCTAGCTTGCAGCAAGGACTCAAAAATTGCATGGCTAAATATCCATATACATGAATCATACTAATTAAAGCTAATTTCCCCAAATCAGCAGCTACAACCAAGTCATGATGCAGGGCTCCCACAGATTCCTCTGGGATTCAAACATGTCCGACGCATTGTAACTGTGACAGTTCAGAGCTTTGACACTGTCCCTTCCACACCCCCTCGCCCCCTCCACACCCATTCCCCTTTGTCGTGTTTTTCCTTTGCTTGATTCCCTGGGGGCAGAATTCCTCTTATCTGAGCAAAGCAGATGCAATGTGCCTGTGGATTATCCTCCACTGTGCTTTAACTGCTCAGCACTAACACACTTTGGTGTTACTGATGATTTGGACTTTCTTTTATTTGAAAGATCACAATTGAATTTGTTGGTTGCCTCTAAATGGCACAGCGGTAATTGCAACATAAAGTATCAAGTGACAGTTCAGTGTCAGTTTTTTTTAAACAGCATTATCGATTTACAGTTTTTTGATTGTTGTTAAACTTGCCCCGAGTCTCCCGTGTAAGACTCTTTTCACATTTTCTGAAACTGTTTTGGAGAGAGTCACTTTAGGCTAAAACTATGCATAATCAATTAATGAATTACTGCACTCTGGGAGGTTCACAGCATATTGGAAAAGTGCATTGACCCAGGCTGAAATGAGTTTATGTTTTGAATTTGTGAGAGGGTGCTGTGAGGTCTTAGAACACAGACTTCTGATGCCAAACAATGGTGCTTATTTTAATTAGTAAGACAAAGGACTGCACAATACACCTTTAATCTGCACTGAGGCACAGGGTCTTTCAGAGCATAGAAGTTGGTGAGAAGAGTAGCCAAGCACAACTCTGAAGCTTGATTTGTGCATCCAGTTTGAGTGAACTTCCTGTGGCAACTGGCCACCAACTGAATGAAATGGGATAATTTCTTGTAGGGCCCACATCACGTGACCAATCACAGCTGTCACCTGGCTCTCGGGCCTCATCTATTGGACGAGTCCCTGTCAGATCCATTTCCCGTCATCCCATGACGCACAAGCAGCCCCTGTAGTGTGTGTCTATATGAGACCCCGTTTCCAAAATAGAGAAAAACTCTCCTCTGTGTAGTTGCCATAGTAACCACTGATTCACTGCATCTGGCAAATTATAGGGTGGTATTGAAGGGCGCGAGGGTGTATGGTTGTGAAGCACTGTGGACCTCCTCTGCATACCAAATCCGGGTACTCAGGTAAAAATGACAAGCAGAACTAAATGATCAATTGTTATTTTTACAGGCAGTCGATAACTCAGTCCACACAGAGGTGAGCAGTGTGACATCCATACACATAAATGTAGATGCTTGCAGCATGCCTCATTAATGGTGATGATTAGAATTTGAAATTGCAGGGTTATTCCTATGAAGCCTTGTGACTGTTGTGCTTGATCAGTTACAGTACAGTCACATAC